TCTTAATTATAGACATAATTATAGTTACGAAGAAAACTAAGTTGAGTTTGGAGACACAGTGAATAAAAATGTGTTCCTCTTTTGTTTCTCCAGAGACAAACACAAAGATTTAGGTGAGGGGAATTTGGGGGTAGAATGATGCTCCAAGCTTTAGCGACTACAGGTGCAGGGGCTGTGATGTGGGAATGGGAGCTGCGCTTTGTGGCCAGGTAGGACACACCTGAAGTGAAGCAGCAGAGGCTGGAGATGGACCAGATAGGGGGGTGGGCGTCAGGTCATGAAGCCCTGGTATTTTGAATTAAGAGCCTGCTCAGTACATAGTAGATTAAATTATTATTATATCCAAGCTTCAAGTTTTGAATATATCAAGGGCTATTGTGTCAGTTGAATGGGATGGTTTCCTAGCACCCAGCACCACGCTAAACGCAAGTTGAGAGTCCCAGATGTAGAATCTTACTACTCTTTGCTGCATGCTTTAAGCTCGTCTCCCATCAGTCACTGCCAGAGCGGAGTAGCACTCAGTGTGGAGGAGACTGCCTGGCTGATGGGCTGCAAACGCAGGGCTGGTGGGAGAACCGTGGGGCGTGGGGACATGAGCATGAGGAAGAGTGGAGTTTCCAACGCACAGGCAGCTGAAGGGCAGCAGAGTGTCGTGTGCACATCAGGGCACCTGCTGCGGGTGGGATGGGAAGGAAAGAGGAGACCGTGGGACCTGCTGGTTGTCAGTACAACTCTCCAACTATTGAAATTTATGAAGACAGTTTGTGCAAATGATAGCCCTGCTCCTCTGTAGCCTAATCAAGTCTTGACATTTGAATTTCAAACCAATTTTGGGGAAATAACTTCTCAGATTCTCATCATATAGCACTTGTTCAATATGAATGGAAATAATTACTTTGCCAGAGTGATTAGCATGCCCAAGAATAACTATAGACTTTTTCTCCACTTTTTTTTGCTTTTAGATAAATGTCAAATATCTTCTTTAAAGTGCATTTAATTTCTTTTTTTTCTCAAGAATCATTGAAAAGTGGCAAAGTGTGATGAAAGTGCAGGTCCACGATGGGAAATGTGCATGAAGAGAAAGCCAAGTTGACCTGGCAGAGAAAATATTCTTAGCAGTGGTTTTTAGACACAAAATATAAAAGCTATTAATATCAATCTCATCTAAAGGAGACCAGCAGCAAGTGGGTATGGGTCTTTCAGACTCTTCTCGCAGCCTCCTTTAGAATGGGTGTCCATTCTGATCGAGGGCTCTTCGTGGGAAAGTGAGAGCCTGAGCTTTGAGATCAGAGAGCTAGGAGTCCACAGGACAGCGCCTCAGAAAGACCTTGGATGAGCCACTTACCCGGCGTGTTCTGGTTTGAATCAAAACTGTCCTACTAAGGCACATGTGTTCAGAGGTGAGGCTCTTAGAAGGTAATTAGATCATGGGAGATCTAACCTCATCAATGGATCCATGCATTGATGGCTTCAAAGCTGAATAGACTGCCCAGAGGTAGGGTCTGATTGAAGTAGATCACAAAGAAGTTAAACTTTTTGTCCCCAGCCCCTTCTCTCTCTTTAGTTCTTTCTTTATCTCTTTGCTCCCTGGCTGCCGAGAGGTAAACAGCTTTCCTCAACCATGCCATTCTACCATGCCATTTCTGCCCTGAACCCAAGCAACCATGGACTGAAACCTCTGAAACTGAGTCAAAGTGACTCTTTTATTCTTGAAGTTGTGTATGTCAGGTATTTGTCCCAGGTAAAGAAAAATGAGTAATACAGTGTGTGAGCTTCAGTTCCATCCATTCTGAAACAAGCATATGGAACTTGCTCAGAGATTGAGATTGCATGCTGTGATGGTGTACTATGCCAACCACTGTTATTGCATCTGCTAAGGCTCTTAGTCGGAGAGGTTATCTCCTTTCTTTCCTTTCTATGAGCAGGAAAGTTGATTGACTGGTGACCAGAATCAGGTCTCACGACTCCTAAGTCCTCAGCCTCCTGAGACAATTATTTAGGGCACACTTGCAGGCAAGTTCTTTCTCTCTTTCTACAGGTTGGTGCCCTGAACTAATGGAGCAGGACAAATGAAATCACACTGAATACTTGGATTTCTTTTGGACCAGAACAGAAAATCTTGCAGTGTGCGTTTGCAGGTACAACAGCTTCTAGAGGTCCAAATAGCCAATCTGGGTCCTCTGCAATGATTTTAAAAAAGCAATTACACATTCACATTTGATACAGTAGGAGTTTCCTGAGGCAGACTTTTGCATGGCTCTTCCCTCCAAAGTACCTGTAGATTGTCAGTCTAAACAAACACTAGATAAGCAGTCTGTCTTGACCCTTTTATCAGGCCTCACAGATGATCTTACCACTGAAATATTTAGAAAAAGTAAGCATAGGATAAAATATATGACAGAAGATGGAGAGAAAAATGTTGGTGTAAATGGCAAATGAAAAGCTGAACTAACCCCACTCCTCCTACCCCTACCAGATTGTTCTTGGGAGAGCTTCTCTGAAAGGTTTTGTTTTTGTTTTAATTGTCCTCTGAGTGATGTAATCCCTAGGTACTAGGAAAGAGCTACTTCTATCTAAGGAATGTTATGTTCACATTTATAACAATAGAGTGGAAAGCCTAGAACCCTTTCCCCACGCCCACCATGCATTTCTCTTGCTAAATCTAGGCCTGCCTTTTGGGAGTGATGAGGCCAGTTGTGTGAGTCAAATAGAGAAGACAAAGAAGTCTCACTAACAAATTATTCTCTCCAGTGTAACACAAGTCCCCAGCCCCTGTAGCAACAGGCTCCTGGGAAGGGATGCTTCTGAGCATTTTGAGGGCCATAGATAAAATCTGAATGTTCTTCTCAGGGCTGATCCTCACTCAACTACATGGTTTAATGAACTGCCTTAAAATTCTCAAATGAACCCGTAAGATAAAGGGCTGTGCTGCTTTTATTTATTTACCTTTAAAATTCTTTACTTGTTGACATCATTCTTTCCTGGGAGATAATCATAATATCTAAAATTTTGTTAATGGAATTATAATCTAGAAGTAAATAACAGAAGCTCTTCTACCTAACTGGAGGGTCAACATCTCATGGGTAGAGAAAGCACTGGCTGGGTGAGTCTGGGAAAATCCTTTTGCCTCTTGCAAAGTGAGAGCATTAGATATGGTGATACCTGTAACTGCTTTCAACTGCAACTTGAAATGTTCTATGACTATGTGTTAGTTTGTTTTTCTGTTGCTATAACAAAAACCCCAAGGTAGGGGTGCTTTAAAAGAAGAGCTTACAGTTTTGGGGACTGCAAGTCTAGGACGGGGCAGCCCCGTTTGACCACTGGTGAGGACATAGCAGCAGGTGACTTTACAATACTAGGACCATGTAAGGGAAGAGACCACACTGTGAGGGGGGAAGCCAGGGAGATTCTGGGGTCAGATCTGAAAACCTCAGTCTTGTAGGAATTATGTAACCGGATTCTTAAGAAGTACTCCATTAACCTTTCCTAGGGGAGGCATTTCCAATGACCTAACCACCTTCCATTCCGCACTACCTCTTACACTTTCCACTACCTCAAAACCACCCCTCCAAGGACCCAGCTTCCAGTACCTGAAATTTTAACAAACGCACTCAAACCGTGTCTACACTCTACCAGATTGGAAATGGATTTTTTCACATAATCATCCAGTGGATAATAGAGATATCTGATCAACTCTGTTGATTGTGCATTTCCAATGCAATTAAAACTTTAATTCTGGACTCAGTGAGTACAGAGAGGTGCTCTGGAAGTATGGAGAGAGGGCTGGAGGATTAGGCCAGATGATTACCCAAAGAAGGCTGTCCTAGTGACTGAGGAAACCACAGTTCTGGGTTTGTGGGGTGGTTCTGGTCTAAGTATAAAATGACTGTCCATCTCCAACCAAAGGAATGCCAAGCTCAGACTTGGAAAGCTAAGGAGTTGTAATAGATTTCATTTCTTTAGATAAGAATGTTGGCTTATGCAACAATAACTACTTAAATATGAAGAGTTGCCCAGCAGGCCACACAGATATTACCTGGCTATTTTTTTCTGACTTTATTCCAAGTTGAATTTCTCAATCTTTTATTACTGTTTCTGTTTTAAACTTCTGACTAGACATACACTATCAGGTGTTTAGCAGGTTCTCTGGCTACTATGCACTGGTTGTTGGTAGAGTGCCCTAATCCCAAATATAACAACCAGAAATGTCTCCAGGCATTACCACAAATCCCTGGAGTGAAAATCACTCCATGCTTCATCTTTTTCTAATGTCAAATTTTATTTCTTTTTGTTTTTTTCGTACCGGGGATCAAACTCGGGATCTTGCGCTTGCGAGGCAGGCACCAGAACCACTGAGCTAAATCCCCAGCCCTAAAATTTTATTTCTTGAAAATAAAACAAAGTGCTCAAACCTTACTACTGTGTTATTGTTTTGATTATTCTGAACATCAACACCATCTTTCGTCTATATGGGATTTGATAATTGATTCTTTCCATCCATGTTGCCTGTGGAGATTAAAGCATAGCAGTTCATTGTCTATAACACATTAGAAAAGAAAACCATCTTTCCTGGGACTCTCATTTTTTTACCCCTTTTTATTGTATTTGGAATCCTGCCTGTTTGAGAAAAGAGCTTTTGCCAAGAGGAATGTATTTAGGACAAGTCAGGCACTGTGTAAATGATACCTGGTTCCTTCTTTTCAAGAAACATGAAGAAAAGAGATATTTAAATCACCTTGAAATGCTACTCTTCTCATCTGTTGGCAGGCCCCATAGACCCCACAATATATAAAGAAGAACACATGTACAACTGAACACCTACCTAAACTAACCTAAGCCCTGTAGTTCATTAAAAGGGTTCTGCAATTTTCAATTTTTAGCTTAAACTTGACTGCTACAATTTTATCATGCTTCACTAAAAAAAAAAAAAAGGTTAAATTTTTGAGAAAAAAACCCACAACATTTTCCCCATACTTCCATCCCCTCCCTGGCCCTCTTACCTGTTTAAGGATTTCAGCTGCTGTTTCATGCGAGCAATCAAATATCACATAGAACTCCTTGCCCTTCTTCATCTCCTTGAGTAAGGGCTTGGCATCTTTATTCCCAGAGGGCAGCTGGCGGATTTTGATTTTAATGTTATATCTGGAGGGAGCTTTGATGAGCTCTTGCAGACGAATTAGACCTAGAAAATGACATCCAATCATGGAACAGAGACCGATCTGTATTGTTTAGTGCCATTTACAGGCAAACACGTATCATTCCCAAAATGTATCAAGCAACCACCCTCCCAAAGGTCGCGCTATTGACTTCCCATTTGTCATTCCTCTTCCTGAGGTAGATTATACTGATATCTTCCCTTTGCAGATATGTACGGCTTGGAAGCATGAAGTTCCCAGGTGTATTTTGAATTTATTTAAAACGCAATCGTCCTCTCCAGTTTTCAAACTTTACAACTGTTAAAGTTTGGTAAACAAAAATTTACTTGATGTTTATAAAGATGCTCTCTTAAAAAGCCAAAAGAATACAAGAATTTCTTGGGATTGTTAGCTTTTGTAAGCTTGTCATGCAGTATTTATACCTAACATTCTGTTTCGCAGCTAATTGGTTGGGCTGCTTTATTATAACTTAACTATTTGAAAATGACTCATTATATTTCTTGCTAGTGTCTTTAAAAGTTGAATTGAAAAATCCTTATTTGATTAAAAATACTATGTATGAGGGCTAGGATTTAGCTCAGTGGCACTGTGCCTGCCTCACAAGCACAAAGTCCTGAGTTCCATCCCTGACACCAAAAAAAAAAAAAAGTACTATGAATTTTTAGAGATTATAATAATAAAAGCAGAAAAAACTTCTTTAAAAATTGACCATTGATACTTGCAAAGTGTGCACAGCTGACTAACTCAGCAGGGAATTCTTCCTTCACCACAGCTAAGGATCTATTGAGAAGCACCACTCTCTAATAGCAGCACTTTGCTTTAGGAGGGTAAGGCAAACAGCCATACAAAGCCTCCATCTGATTTCCACTTGTGTTAACTGGTGTTTGCTGCTCTGTATGATGTTGTGTCTCACTCAAGGGCTCCCTTCTCATTGGAAAATTGACTTTTTAAAGTATGCAGTGTGGTGCCTTCAGAATTTTTCAACTTCAAAAAATCAATAAGGTATAGTAAGCATTGGGGTATTGGGATGAACATGGTGGTCTGCAGGTGCAAGATACCACATGGACTCCAGCTACTTCTGGGCTTGATACCTTCTTTCCTTCCTTCTCTCCCTCTCCCTCTCTCTCTCTCTCTCTCTCGTTTTATTTAGCTATTTTCCTCCAGAACTCACATTTATTGCAGTTTAAATTAAAAAGGTTTCTCTAATTGCCACAGGTAGGTTTGAGTCTGGAGTATCTTATGGTAAATTTGTGATACTGCTTTTCAGAGTCAAATGGACAGGGGCAAGGGAGGTGGGAGAGATTGTTGTAGAACTGTGTCATGTTTTGGTATACATCATCCTTTTTATTTTTGAGGACAAATTGAAATTGTTAGAATCATAGCCTTCCTGGACTCTTGCTCCTTTTCAAATTACTCATGTGGTAGAAGACTCTAAGGTTCCAAAAATAAGGCATTTGTGTTCTTACTTCCAGATTTCCTTATCCAGAAACCCTGGTGAGTACTAAAAACAAGAACCACAGAGATTTGTACACTTGTTACTTGTATTTGTTGATCTTAATAATTTTATGAAGCGAGTGTTATTATCTTTATTATTTCAAGTGCAGAAATGCCCCAGAACAATTAAGTAACTTACTCAGGGTTGCAAAGACAGTGGAGAGGAGCCATGGATTGAAATCATAATTTGTGACTATAATGCCCTATCTTCCCACTGCACTATTCTGCCTTATGAATACAAGCTACTGCTTCTGAAGGGAAAGATACAGTTTAGGATTGTTTGATGAGATGGAGAAAATATGGAATCAAGGACGGATTTTCCTTTCTCCTTTTCCTCAGGCTTCCTACTTCAAAATCACATACATTTTTTCTTTTTTAAGTTGAACATGACCACAAATGAGATCTCAATGTGGCCTTTATATAAAATGGGAAAAAAATATTTTAAAAGTGCATTTCATATGCTGCATTGAACTGCTCTTTTTTTCTTTGCTGAATAGAATGTCAGATTTGAAGCCCATCTTCCTGTCTGGATGCCTTGAATACTCTCATGGCCTTTAAAGTTTACATGCAATTTCTCACTATATTCATTCATTTTTAGTAAAAATATTTCCTGTACGTTCACTAGATCCCAAGCTCTGTGCAGAGCTTTATAAATTAAACACATCCCTGTTTTTTTGTCCTTGTATCCCATGGGAGGTTTTCATACCATAACTCTCAGGAGGTGGGTGGGGCATCAATTACCACTTCATGGAATAGATTATGAGGTGAGCCTGCTGCAGGGTGGAGTAGCTTGCTCAAGGTCATCTAGTAAATAATGACAGATTCAGTGCTTAAAGTCAAGTCTACTTCCTGTTACTGAAGTAGAGCTTTTTCCACTAACTCAATAGCCCTGCCTGACTTTTGGATTTCAGAGTAAATAATGGAATGACTGACTTAGTCTATAAATAAGTTACTACATACACAAATAGAGAAAGAAATTTTGGACCCACGTAAAGAATGGAACCTTTATTAAACACATGAGGCCATTCACATGCATGCTATCCCCCTCCACAATAAAAGTAATCATACACTCTCACAATAGTTTCATAAATGAAAATACATTTTGCTACCAAGAGAGAAAAAATGAGCAATTCGGTACGAAAGACCAGTTTCTAATTGGAATAAATTTATCTTCAGGAAAAAACTTGCCACTATGCCCCTACTTTTCCCATTTGCAAGTATACAGGTAAATTGGTTTAGGAAAGAGAAGGATCAGCAGATTTGAAGATTACAAATTTGATTTTTTTCTCACTCTTGAGGGGAGTACTTCCTTGTAAAAGCAGTTCTTACAGCTTTGCTTTCAATCAGTTAAAAAATATTTTATATATTACTCTAGCCTGTTGTCCTCCACATTCTATTGTCCTAATTATACTGTTTTCTGATTTGTGTATATGTCTTGAGACAGTAACTTTTTGAATAAAAATAAACCTAAAAAACAAAAGAAAATTACAGACGCAGGTTGTGAGAAGAACAATGAGCATGAAGCCATGATTTTACATTTCTTTTCCTGAAGCAATTGTTTGCTTAAGAAAAGCCATTCTGGCTTCATTAACAAATGATGTAGAGTTTACAATTCAAAAAGCTGTTTTAGTTCACCAGAGACAAAATTTAGTGAGAGCTTTCCCTTTCTGCGTTTGCATCTTGCAGCAAACCATGGATTCATTTACATTTCATTGTAATGAATAGGTAAAAACATTTTTTGTTAAACAAATAATTATTTCTGGGAAAGGAAATTAATTCAGGTGCAGCACTGACTTTTGCTGCTTCTGCTGCTGGGTTCCAGCTCTAGCCCTGAGGAAGTGACCTGACCTAGCCCTGCTGGGACTCCAATTGCAGAGAATGTTAAGAGTGCATGCCAAGCTGGTAATGTCATGCTCTCTGCCCAATGGAAGGGAGGGGCTTTAAAAATGAAATGCAGAGACATCCAAGTGAGTTACATTATACAATAAAACTGATCTCATCCTGACTTTTCAAAAATGTCAATGTGAATGACAAAGGAAGGCTGAACTGTTCAGGACCAAAAGAGACTAAAAAGATTTGACAATCAAATGTAGTGAGTGATCCAGGAACAAGTAGTGAAAATGGAATTATATAGCGTTTATAATTCCATGTATTTTTAGATAGCATTAGTGTATCATTTTTATTGTTTATTTTTTCTGGTACTGGGAATCGAACTTGGGACCTTGCGCTTTCGAGGCAGGTAGTAGAAACACTGAGCTAAATCCCCGGCCCATGTATCATTTTAAAATATCCCACATTTGATAATTATATTGTGCTTATACCGAGGAAGGCCTTTTTTCCTAGGAAATACACACTAATGTATTTGTGGGTTAAAAGAGTCACAGCGTCGGGCCCAGGATTTAGCTCAGTGGCATCATGCCTGCCTTGGAAGTCCAAGGTCCTGAGTTCAATCCCGGTACACCCCCCCCCCCAAATAAGGAAGAACAGTCACAATGTGTACAACTTACTTTCAAATGGCTAAACAATGCTACTACTTACTATTATTGTTATTGCTGTTGCAGTTGTTTTTATCATGAGAAAATGATGGGGCATTACAACAAATGTGCTCAAATAATAAAAATTGCTGAATCTAGATGACAGTAGAGAGGAGTTTATTGTATACTTAAATTTTCTCTAAGTTCAAATATTTCTAAATAGAAAGATAAACCATGCAGATATAAAATAATATCATAATAGCTTCCTCCCCACCTCTATCCCTAGAAATGCAATTAGAAAAGCACTTTCAGTTTGAAAATGCTTTAGAGAACAGCCTGTTTATTTTACCTAAGTTTGAACAAGGCTCTGCATAAAGAGGTAACTTTCAAAAATGTCCAAAAGGCCAATTCTATACACTTGCTTTGACCATATATATTCTCTGTGTGCTCAGATATGACACAGAAAAATGCTGATTTGCATGCATATTGGATGACTGAAGTGACCAGTGGAGCATTATGGAAGACAAAAAGATCCTGCTCTTTCCAGCTGATGTTTAGAGTTTCCCCTGCCTTCTCCTTCAGTGATAACAAACCTTGCAATTTACACAGCCCCTTTTTTATGAAGTATGCTACATGCCTTATTAATAGCTCAATAAACCTAGACTATACCTCTAAAATGGATAAATGTCAGTGCTGTTTTATAGTGAGGAAAGTGAGGCACAGGGAGGTTAATTGTTTGGATTGGCCCTGAAAATGAGCCACAGATGCCTGGAATTGGAAGAGACCTTGAAGGTCAAACCCCTACTGGATGTAGCAATCCCCTCCACACAGCTGCTGCTGCACACCTCTCCGTGTTAGAAATTCTCTACTTTACATTGCAGTCCAAACCGTTTCTGAACAGCTTTAGTTATATTTAGTGAGTCTCAGTTCAAAAGAGAAGCACCTAGGTTTTCTTGAGCCTTAATTTAATTCCCTGTTCATTAAACCACGAGTGGGCTTGATGCTGAAAAAATGAAGGTAATAAACCACTGAGACCCAAAGATCAGATCACACATTTT